CCCCGATCCTGAGCCCCACTGGGGGGGTCCCCCCCACGGGCATGGCATGCTGCCTCTCGGAAGGAGCCCCTTTCCTCGCTGTGAGTAGCCTCTGAGGGGCACTGGTTGGGGACAGGGGTGGGGGCATTCTCTAATGGGGGACCGTGGTCTTAGGCCTCCTCTGGGATGGGGGGACCGCAGAGGACAGTGGGCGGGGCCTGGTGGAAGCCGAAGCTGGAGGGGAAGACTGTCGGGTGGGGGTCCTTGGGCCGCAAGTTCTGAGTTGGGGGGCCACTATTGCCCAGGGACGGCTGGGGGGTACGTCCCGCGGTCGCTGCGCACCCGGCCGTGGTGGAGGATGTCGGCTTAGGGTGGGGGTGCTCGCCGGGCGTAGGTCTGGGCCCCCCCTTTCTGGGGCAGGAGTCCGGGTCTTTCTACCCCCCCTCGTTGCCCCTCCCACCCTCCACACCGCGGCTGCTTGGGGGGGCATGCCAGTGATGGGGAGGGGGGAGAGGCGGGCACGGGGTTTCCTTGGTGACCGCGCCTGGCAGGAGCGGTTGCCGTAGCAACCAGAGAGAACCGGGGAGTTTGGGAAGTGAAAATGGGAAAGACGGAGGGGGTGACTGGGGAGTGAGACAATCCCCTCCCCAGGCTTCAGCCCTTCTCCCTCCCGGGTCACCCAACCCCTCCTAGTGGACAGTGGAGCCCCTGCCCCTCCCTCTTCCCAGGACCCCCCTTTCTTGACCCCATTCTGCCTCAGTCCTCTATCCTCCACACGTGTCTCTCTGGGACCACTGCCTCTCTCCCACCTTCCTTGGCCCTCTCCTCTTGGGGGACCTCCCCATCCCCCATTCACTGCCTTCTCCCCAGTCTCCCCATCCTCACACCTGTTCTTCTAGGCCCTTCCCCTCAAGATCCTCTCACCCCGTCTCGACCCTCTCCACCGGCCTCCTGTCCTTTGACCTCCTCCGGAGGTGATGCACCTTAGCCATCTCCTAGCCCCACCCCCTCTGCCCAAGACCCCAGCCTCCTGCCTTCTGCAGAACACCCCAGCCTCTTTCTTTTCAGACCCAGCTCTTTCTGAGGCCTCCTTCTGTGCACCTCCTTCACTCAGAGACCCCTCTATGTTTGCCTCCACACCCGACAACGTCCCCCAATCCTGGGCCCCCACCACAGATCCTGGGATGCTCCCCTCTGGAACCTCCTAGTTCCTCATCTTCCAACTTCCCATCAATCCCAGGACCCTGAGGCCCAGGCTCTGTCTAGGGTTCCTCCCAGCTTATCGCAGCCGCTTCTGTGGGCTCCTCCTCTCAGTCCAGAGGACACACCAGTCTCTCCAGGGCTCCAAACCCCCATGCCGGAGGTGCCCCTGGCCCGCCGCCCTCTGCCCTCCTCTCCCGGCCTCTCCTGGCGCTCCCACCTCTGCTCTCCCGCCTGCCCTGCGCCTACAGCCTCTACAGGCCACTTTCTCTGGGGTGGGGAATTCCCCGGGGAGAGCCCAGCTGGGGGGAGGAGAAGCCGCCTCGGGGCTGCCCCTCGCCCCCTCCGCCCCTCCCCAGCTGGGAGCTGCAGTCGGCACCTCCCTCCGCAGCGCCCCATTGCTATGCGCCTCACATCCCGAGTCCGGGCCGCGCAGCCGCCAGACAGGAACTCCGGCTCCAGTGGCAGCTGGGAGTAGCCAGAGTAGGCTTCCCTCCTGGTCCAGGCAGCCGGCAGCATCCTCTCCCCCCTTAAAACTGCCCCCAGGACCATGGCTAGGATCTGCGCCTCCTCTTCCTGTAGCATCTCCAGTCTCCTGCATTCTTCTAATCTTCGAGTCTCAGCTTCCTCTTCCCCGTCCCACCCTCCGCCTGCTCTTTCCTGGGTCTTCTCTCATCCCAATCACCTCACTGTTGAAATGCACACGCAGAAAGGAGGAAGGGAGTGAAGGCCTAGAGGTGGGAGAGACGCTCTGGTTGGGAGCGAGAAGGGCCAGCCTCCCGCACAGACACAGACTAGGTGCATCACCATGGAATCAGACATACACAGTTACTCACTTGATTTCCAAAAGAAAGGGAGAGTCAGGGAGACACAGGAACACCACCATTCCCACACAGAGAGCAAGCAGAGCCACGGGGAGCCACAGACTCAGGGAGACTGGTGCAGACCACCATGCTGTGAGGAGCCAGAGAGCATGCCCCACCAGAGCAAGAGGGGACCCCACACCAGCCAGGGCTGTGTGAGAAAGACAGAGGTGTGTATAGGCAGATGCCCACGTGCACATGCACATAGCCATTCACAGCAGCCTGAGGCCCAGATGTGAAATCAGTGGAATCACAGAGACCCCGTGACAAATGAGACTGTGGTGGCCAGAGTTAGCCAGGCCAGAGGAGAAGGGCAGCAGTCCCAGGCCAGGAATCTTGTGCACACAGGGCGACACACATTCCCTCCTACACAGACCTGAAGAAGACAAAGGCAGAGGCGTTGCACACGGACACCATCCTCTGGTGGCCTCACAGACACAAATGAGAGGCATGGAGGTGGCCCTGAAACTCTGGAGATGTGGCCTCACATGCTGTTAGTGCCTTTGCAGAACCGCACTCCGTGACCACACCTGGAGCACAGCCTGGGGGGACGCTCAGTGAGTCCCAGCGCTCACCCTAATTCCCACCAGAAACAGGAGGCTTCCAGCATCTGAGGGCTCCCCAAGACCTCCCCACTGTCCTATGAGACAGTGGGAGTAAGACCTCAATATCAGAGGGCCACTGAGGAGGCTCAGCTTGGAGGCAGAGCCTGGGCTGCGCAGGCGCCAGCACTATTGGGCCCACATGGAGCAGCAGATCTGCAGGCAGGGGTGCCTCCTCCTGAGAGCCTAGACCTCTTCTAGAGCCCCCACTCCAGTTTCCTGCTAGGTCCTCTCCTCCCCATGCTGGTCACCTGGCCTGCCTGCTGCTGGCAGCCCTCCTCCACACCCATCCCTCCTTACAGCCCCAGTGCCTCCCTCCTCAGCTGGGAGACCTGCCTCCTCCCCCTCTCCCTCTCCGCTGTGGCCTTCCCACCAGCCTGTCTACCCCACTGCTTCCCCAGGAGCCTATGAACCACAGGTGCCATTTTCCCCTAGTGCTTTCAAAATACTCAATTCATGGCCAACATCTTTTTTAAAAAATAGCGAGTTCGTGTGAAGATCTAGTTTGCCAGCTTCTGTTGAGAAGTTCTTGCTCCTGGGTCCCAGGGGCTGTGCTCAGGTGCTTAGGGCCACTGTCCCTCCTCTCCTTCTACCTGCCTCATCATCCGTCTCACCTCCACATGGCTCAGAGTCAGCTGAGTTTTCACCCTGCTATTTTCTCTTCTCTCTTCCTCTCACTGGCTCTCTTTTTGCCCCATCACTCCTTCAACTCTCTTCCCCTTGCTTCCTTTGCCAGGGACTCTGTCTCCCCTCCTGTCCTCTATCCTCCTCCTCTAATAGTAAACCTCCCTCGTCTGGGCCTGTGTCCCTCATGCCAAGAGCAGGAAGAGTCCCTTATCTGGGCAGGCTGGTTCCTGAGTACCAGGTTCAGAGCACACTCTAGTTCTCCAGGGCCAGGGTCTGGTTGAAACTGCCAATCACTCTCCATGCCCTAGGGTCAGCCTTGCACGAAGCCATCACGTGGCAGCCTGTCCTCTACTGGCTGGGACAAGAGTGGGACAGACCTGTGGGACAGACCCCACATTCTGGTCTCCAGTGTGTCAGGTGGCAGACCAGGGGCAGGGCTGGGTTTCCCTATGTGATGGGGGCGAGCTGC